GGCCTGGCCCCAGCAGTTGAGACTGCACGTGATGGCCACGCGCTGATGCTTGACATCAGTGCAGTTCAGATCATGTCTTCCTTTCAGGCCTGGTCTTTGGGACATCGAAGGTAGACCCATGACTTGCTCAACCGAACTTCCACACCTTCTCATGTTGCCTCCAGTCTTTGTGGCCAACCCCAGGCCCCAGGCCCTGAACGGGGCCACAGGAACCGCAGGTCTTCCAAGAACCGCACCGAAACAGGTCCAGTCCCGTCCTGTTGGAAGGCACTTTCCTCCGCCTCATAATTCGTCTGGCAAAGCTCTCCAGACGCTTCTCGGCCCTGAGCGCACGGCGGGCACGGCGTTTGGACAAGCGCAAACCGTCTGCGCAGACGGGCTCCGTGGGCAAGTTCAAGGCTCCGAAGGCAATGAAGCGGCTGAACACGTAGAGCTTACAATCATATACAATAATTATATATATATATTGTGTTTATCAATCTTAATTGTAAGTTCAACGTGTTCAACGGACCTTACCGCGGAAGGCACGGACCCAGTAAGACATAAAAATGAATTCATGAAGGATGCAGGCCCGTTTCATGCGAAAGGCAGTGATCCTCCTACCTTGAACCATCCGAACTGAACCGACTCTCACCCAAACTTGGTCTTGCAGCTTCCTGGAATACTTTCAACTCTGCAAAAGGAACGGTTAATGGCTATGATGAAGCAAACCCATGGAATCATCGCATTTCAGCCTGGTAGACCAATGCCATTGGCACAACTGTGGTTTGACACCAGCCCCCGAAAAAGAGCTTGACATCCTCAGTAGTCCATGCAATTACAGGTCAACCCGGATCCGGCACGAGATACCTCACGACGCGAGCAAATGGATGCACTTTTTGACGAGAACCCCTCGCCTCAGCACAGGCCAAGGTCACGGTGGCTTGGATCCCAACCTCCCAAGACCTTGACACGGCCAAATCCGGCGAAACGGAGCCGTGAAGACGAGCCTAGGCGGCAGGATGCGGCAGGTCTTAAGACTGTTCCGAGAAACGGTGAGATGACGTTCAGAGCTTTCAAACAAATGATGCGCATGTTTGAGTCGATGTATAGATATCACAGACTAAGCTTCACACCTATCAGACTCATGTAGCAACTGTGATAGTTGGAGATATTTTGGCTCGAAGAGTCGGGCCATGTTCAAAAAACGCCCGACTAAGGTCGCCCCAGGGCCCAGTGGAGTCGAAGATCTTTCAAGCAACAGTGCCCCCCCCATCAGCGGGCCAAATGGAACACATCGATTTCGACCCCATGTGGGTGTCTCGCTTTGGAGCATCGATCTAGACATAGAGATCATCTGTGATCGGATGAAGAACACCTTCTATACCAGGACCGTCAGTACGTGACCGAACTTGATCTCGCGAGGTCACGAACTGGGTCGCTGGCAGTCTCGAATGGAGGCCAACACACAGAAAAGACGCTGTTACCCTGAAAGAATTATACAGTCTGCACCACTCGAGATCGAGGAAATTAATGGACACACTTTAAGTTACTGCTGTTTTTTTAATGCAGGCTTCTACATGGTGCAGGATTTTGTCCAGTGATCTCACCTAAATTACCTTGACTGGCTGTCTTGAGGAGCATGTACGCAATTCAACAAAACGCTGCATGCAGCGAACCTTTTGAGCACAAATGCTCAAGCTGAGCCGTTCAAGGTTGTGACAATCCTGTTCTGTTAGTTGACTTTTCTGTATATATTACACATATATATATATAATATATATATATATATATATCCAAGTCTGGGGGCATTGGGTCTTTTCCGGAGAGCCCTGCAGCAGCCATTTTGGAACACTCGTATTGGCAACTTGTACCTATGTACAGTGCATGGATATATATGTTAATATGTATACAACCTATACAATTGTACATTTAACATATTATATAGTACATGTTTCTGCCAAATCTGGGAGTCTAACCGCCTTCTTTCGGGGTCGCATGGTTTCCAGATGTTTCTAAGACAAAGGGACTGTCCCTGCCGTTCGTGATTCCGCTCGATCGATTTGGCCCAAATTCTTCCAAGGTACTGATGCGAAACGACCTGGGCCACCAATGCATGGATGCCACGAGGCGAGAAATCCCGAGACTCAACGACCAGAAACGGCCGGGAACACGAGCAGTACAAGCGTGAGTTCGCATCTCGGAGAGGTGAATCGCCGGTTGGTAGGTCATATGGATCATAGCTGGAACAAAAAGCTCCTCAAAGGACCTTGGGATGAGTCTGCCACTTGCACCAAATGAGCCAGTACGGCAGCCTATGCTAAACGCGCTACATGAATAGAACGTTGAAAGTGTCTCCTAAAGTTCCTAAAGTTCCGTCAGTTCAAAGGCTCAACTCCAAAAATGGAAGGCCCTTAACGATAGGATCAAGCCTCTTCAATTCTTAGTCCCCGAGTCCCCATTGGCCCATGATCAAATTCAAAAGCGATTTTCCATATATGCGACAGCTGGTGGCTTGTGGGCAGCTTGAGCCGTTGCAATGAACATAGTTGTCGTCCCTGGAGCGGTTTGAGCACTTATAGAGGCCATCCAACTTGAGTGCCACAAACACACACCTTCCCCTTGCGCTTCGTGATGGTACCCTATGTCCAGGAGTTTGTTTTACACTATAGACTATAAGTGCATCCGCTGCCCAAACCAACATCGGCCGGAATGTCCGGACGTCCAAAGACGAAGTGTGCGCCAAATCGTCAGGAATGAACACGAAACCATCCTTATCCATGGCTTCCAGCTCTTGCAGAGTGGTACGTTTTGTGTCCCGACGGGCAAGAGATCGGAAAATGCCGGTAAGATGTATGGCATATACAATCTATATATTTCAATCTTGTCCATCTTGTACTGCCCTTGTTGTGTCCATCTTGTACTGCCTGTTGTCTTTTCCTGATATGTTTAGCTGACAAATATGTTTCTAATAGTTTCCAATTCTAATGGCCCTGCATGGTGGAGGGAAGTCGTCTGCATGGTTCATTGTTAGAGGAGGCTATGCTTAAGTGGGGTGGTGCTAAGCAAAAGAAACAATACAAACAAACACAAGAACAACAAAACATGTGGCCAACACCCTAGAACATTAATTTTGATCATGATATACTATGACGTAGCATCTTTGGATCATCTTGACTCCATATTCACATCCGCTATATGGATATATCCTGATAGCTACATGATGCTAAATGATGCTAAATGCCATAAATCTATCATGTATCTTGATCTCATTGGGCCGACCATTCTTTCGCTGCGATTCCTCCGGTGCGCCGAACAAATCCCAGGTGCGATGTCCGTGGAGGTGGGCTGTCGTCGCAGCAAACGCTGCAGCAAACCATAGAGTTTGAACCTGAGCGCCGCGCTGGAAACCGTGGGGTTTCGGCTACCGTTTTGGGCTCCTATTAGTTATCTCCCGTTTTTGGGCTCCCACGACACTCACTTTCAACGTGTTTTCAGGCTCGAGATCGCCCGCTCAAACGAGGCCTTAATATACAACATGGACAACGCACCCAAAGCTGGGCTCAAGTACTAGGGTCCGACCCGACAAACAGGCCATTACTTGGTTCCCCGGTGTGGGACTCGATGTCTCCACTCGCTGCCCTGCCACCCATGGACGAGACGTCTCGGCGAAACAGGCGCCACAGAAGCCCAAAAATTGCCCAAGCTGGTAGAAGTTGTCACGAGCCACATCAGGGTTTCACTTGGTTCCAAAAGCCACCCTCTGTCTTAGTTTTTGCACCACTTTGCACCCTATGCATCCCCATGCCTTATACGTGGATCCGCTGTGGAATGATCACCGTGCCCCTGAGGCCACGTCCAAAAGATTCCACCCAACGTTTCCCTCATTTTGTGTCGGTTTTCGCCGCTCCATTCGTCCAGCCGCCCCCACTGGGCTCTCCAACTTGGGATTGGGCTCCTCTTCCATGGCGACGTGCACCGCGCATCAACGGACGACGCAGTGTGCCCACGGTTGGCGGCTTAGTGTTTCGTCGCGCTGCAATGAGTGGGGAGATGCAGCATCTCTGTTTATTCTGAAAAGGGGTGAGCTGGGCTTCACCTGAGATTCTGGGCACCGCCCAAAAAGACCCTGCGGAGTTGTTGGGCATCTGGGTGTAGGGTCTCCGCCTTCCCTCCTCTCTCAGCTCGGTGAGCTCCAAGCGTTTCACAGGACCCCCTGTAAGTTAACCATGGTTCTAGCCAGGATTATACTGTAGATATCTCCGGGTGTTCCCTGTCCTCCAGCGAACTTCGCACTCCATATATTTTTTAAGCACTAGACTCCATATACATATATAGTAGGGAATGAACTTATATAACTATCTTATCCAACATAGAGCGAGATTGCCACCAGTGGAACCTCACCATTGTCTAGACGACTGTGCCCAGTCTTGAATGGCGGGGATGGAATCTCGCTCAAACCCGTGAGAATGAGAATGCGCACGGTTGTTTGGAGGGAGACACTCACTCACGTCAAGAGCTTCCAAAGATCAGCGACCAGTGCCTTTCTCGAATCAATGCCTGTCTGAGTCTTCTCTTTTTTGGATGAATGTGTCAAGGGTGCTCCAGCTAGTGCAATCGCGAGGTTGTCCAAACGTCCGTATCCAACGGGTCTGCGGAACCCTTTGGGGTTCCACTGGTGTTCTCGGCCGAGCTGAGCCGAGCACAGCGGAACCGCACAACGGAGCCCGGACGCCGAAATCGAACGCGAAACTGAGTCTCGAAGAGACAAATCTGAATGGACAGCTTTAAAGAGAGGTTCTATCAGCGAAATTGCAAATTGGATTCATTTAAGTAACGCGTTCCCTGGCATTTCTGTCCATGAATCTCATCTGGTCTACTGTTTGAATTGAGGATTTGATACTCCCTCCTTCAGTTTCCCTGGGCAAAAAAGGGCTCTTCTTTGTTGAGGAAACCAATTCCCCACAAAACGGCTAAAGGTTATCCAGTTATCCACCGAGGAGGTAGGAAAATAGCATGTTTCAGTCAAAAGAACCAGCGGTTAAACACCTCGAACGCACGCCTCATGTCACAGCACCGATGGAATCGGTACTTGGACGGGTTTCTCCACTTTTCCAAGTTAGATTGAAAAAGTGCGGCGGGGTGCCAGCATCTCACAGCAAGCGGCGGCTCAAGGCCAGCAACAAGAAGGCCGGATGGCTGTCCTGCACATCTTGGACGGACCTGGCCCTTTTTCGGGGCCAAAACCCGGGGGTTGATCCAAGCGACCTCGGGGAATCGTTGGTTTCGTCGGACAACAGTAACAGTCAAACGGTCAAACTGGTAAAAATCCGGCCCGCCAGGGCAAGCACACAAAGGTGCCCAAGCATCAATGGCTACTTCAATGGCTGTGCAACAATAAATGTACATACTACATATATATATAGTTGTACATATAGCGAGAGAGAGAGGTAGGCATAGGCAGCATAGGTAAGTGGCGAGGTACTGTAGATAGACGACAAATATAGATCATGCGATCATTTGGTTGGATAGACAAACAATGGTTAGTGTAAATAGATGGATGAATAAATCAGTATAAAAATTGATGTAGATGGACAACAAATACATGCAGCAAAGACGAAACAACGCGGATCAACCAACCACATGTTTGCACCGAACAATGCCGAATCGGACACGTCGTAGCTTTTGCGCAAGGTGAGCCTGATCAATCATGAAATAACGCATGGGCCTGTTCCAACTTGTTGCACTTCAATCTCTTGTGTTCAATCCACAGGCCATTGCTAAATTCACAAGCTGCTTGGCTGCAAATCCGGGCAGGACTGATTCTAAAATAAATAGTCAATGATCGTACTATCAATCAAAGAAGAGCTATGGCTTAGGTTGGTTGAATTTGGTTCATTTTTTTGTTGATCCGCTGCATTTATGGTTGATCCTCCTTGTTTTTGAATAATTCAAAGCGACTTAAACGACTTACCTTCGCTAAGGTGCAGAGGGTGAGACCAGGGGTGCTTGGCAACTAAACAATAACTCAACCAAAAGCTTCACTCTCTTTTGAATGTGTCTGGTGAACTTCCGTGGTAGGCAGTGCTTACCTTTGAAGAAATGAGATGAGACTGGTGTCTGTAAGACTTCAGTAGCTAAGCAAACATCAAAGCCAAGGAACGAAGGACAATAAACAGTAATTTAGATAACTTAGTTTGTGGTAAGGTGCAATGAGGGATGTGGAGACCGTTTTGGTCGTGCAATAGAAACTTGAGGGGGGAATGGGGGGAGGGAGCCGCGCCTCCCCCCAAAGACGCAGAACAAACAAATAATCAAAGTAAAGAAATTGAAGAATTCAAAGGGACGAGGGATTGGGAGGAGGGCGCAGCGCCTCCCCCAAGAATAGCAGAACAAACAAATCAACAGAGCAAAGAAATGGACGAATTCAAAGGGAATTACTGATGACTTTACTCTCGCCAAGGTGCTAGCAGAAACATGTACAATAGTTCCGTCGGAAACCGGACAGCAGTGAGATGCAATGCATTTAGCATCTCACATAGAATGATTGCTGTTGTCAAAATCACCGAACCACGAGCTACAAGAAAAGCAAATTTTAAGCTCGGCATCTGCGGGCGTCAGGAATGATCCTTCCTTCCTTCTTTCTCGCTTTCTTTCTTTTTTGTTTTTGATGCGGAAAATCTCATGCTTGATCCGCACAAATGTTTCTTGACCCGGGCAAATGTTTCTTGATCCGGAAACATGTTTTTGACCCCTCTCCTATGAACGTGGTGGAACAAAACAGCCAGGAAGAAGATGGAAGAAACACCAAGGAAAAATGTGCAGAATGGACAAGGAAGGTTTTCTGTTGAAAAGCCCTCAGGTGCAAAGATCTAAACTGAAAACGTCTGTCGCAATCTTGCAACCTTTTCAATCATCCAACTTCTATCAAAGTTCAATGCGCCTTCTTGTGTCAATGCCTGGTACAAGCGCGGCAAACTGTAGACCGAAGAAGAAGCAAATTTGCGCATTTTCAGGCAAGCAGCAGTGAAGACCAAGGGGGCAAAAATGAGTTTGCATGCCTTGGCCTTGACTGGACAGCCAGTTCGATATTGTAGCATTGGCTGTGGCACAGTGGCGCTACAAAATGCACTACACTAAAGGCCGACGGTGGTGCGCACGGGCATTGGGATAAGTACAAAGCTTTCCAAAAACGTCTAGAAACTGGTCTGGCCTCTCCGAGCACAACGCTGCGGGTGCTGTTGTTATTTCTGGCTGGAGGTGTTTGGCGGCTCAAGCCATCAAGGCTCCAAAGCAATAAATAAAGCAGGGCGATATTTTGCTCCGACACATGGAAGCACCGCTGACCCTGGTGATACTTCGTTGGACTGCAAAAAAAAAAGGGATGGAAAATGATGGAAACTGGGGATGGATACAAACGGGGATATTTACTACTCTCTCCTATCTCTCTCTCTCTCTGTTCAAATTCAAATTTGCAGGCAAAAACACACCCACGCCTGCATCACTTGGGTGGAAATGCAAAAGTTGGAAGCGAAACCTCAATGGCCGGGGCGGCATCGTGCTTCACTGAACATACGGATTTCATGTGTCCATGAATGAAGTCCATCTACAGTATATGGGATGTCTTTTCACCTTGTCTTTTTCCTGTTTCACCAGGGGGCAAATAAATAGACTCCAAGACGGTGGCAACATAGAAACCAATAGGACAATGGTGCGGTATGGCATTGCAATGCTATGAGTTCATTATTGACATGTTTCATCAAGTTTCATCTTCTCGATGTCGACTCCCAAAAACAGATTGCTCTGGAAGACAGCTGTCTTCCACTAAACCCTGTTCACAGATTCCATCATCCAAATCATATCAACATCCTGCCAAATCTGCATCCAAAATCTTCCCAGCTCCTCGAAGCTGGACTCTTCCTTTTCCCCCATGTTTGGGTTCCTCGATCCACCCGGCTCCAACCCCCGACCGATCCAGCCAGCAACCCGAGCCAACCCGGCGAGCCACGGGGAACGGCGGAAACGGCGTCGCTTCCGTTCGCGTCGTGGAGGCGGCGCTGTTCCCGTTGGCGACGGCGCTGGAGCTCGTCCAGCTGTTCGAGGGACCAGGAGCTGAGATGCTCCTGGTAGATCAGCATGCAGGAAATTCGGACATCAAGTGATTGTTGGATTGATGTTTGGTCAACTCTGCGGGTGGCTATATCTATATTTAGAGGTCAAGCTGGAGCCTTTCAGCTTCTTCATTCTGAATGGGCCACATTGCTGTTTGACTTCTTCCTGAGACTATCATTTTCTGCTGCACCACGCATGTCCCAACAAATTGTATCAGGTAAAGGGCATGGCTGAACACTGCATGTGTCTAAGCTTCTCTAAGCATTGGGGTTATGAAAGCACAGCAAGAAGAGCAAGAGCGTGTATGGAGGACATGGCCTATGTTTCTTCACCGTTGTGTCCATTCACGGCTATGTTTGCAAATGACTTATCAATATAATATATATATATAATTCCTTTAAACACGTTTAAACAGTCCTCAAGATGAAGAGTCACATGCAGCCTCCAACAAATGGATGGGTCACTCTGGCAACTTGCAGAAGCATGTAGAAACCATCAGGAGTTGGGCTGGAAGAAAATCATAGAACATCATTTGTTTCAGCAACCAAAACAGCAGCCTGAAACAGTTGTAGAAATTCCAAACTTCTTCCGAATCCACCTCTCTTCGTGTCAAATCCGTGTGTTGCTTCTTTCTTTGGTCGGTTAACGTTTCAGACCAAAACTCGACCAAGTCACGACTGTGAAGGTCCAAGATGTCCTGTGTCCCTCCTGAATCAGGTTTCGGAGCGCCTGGTTGGGCAACAACATGGCCTGGGACGAAGGACATGCCTTCTGAGGGCAATCGAGCCGTTGTGAAGCCCTTTCTTCGTGCCAAGTAGATGTGGTGTGATATGTTCTCTCTCGGTCAAATGGCACGGTCTTTCCAACGAGGAAGTGCGTCCTATCATTAAAATTCATTATATTATATATATATATATATAGAAGAATGTGTCTGACTCCAAGCCGGACCATCATCTACAAGCATCGAATCCTTGGATTGAAGGAACAACCAAATGTTCCAGAGGGAGATTCCATGAGAGACTGGCAAAACTATAGGCATGTTCTTCTTGAGGCCACGGCCCGCGGCTACATAAATATTATAGAAATAGTTTCCTCAAAAGCTTCTCTCGGAAATCATAACTAGCTTGAGTAACCGTCTGACGACTGGCCAGTGCCCGTACACACGTCCGTCAAGCCCTAGCGGCCCTAGCGGCAGATCGAGCCGATGGATCCACCCAACCCTGGAAGGTCCCGGGGTCTCAGACTCGAAACACTGAAACAGCGCGACCAGCACGACCACTGGTGGGTCTTCTCGCGGTTGGTGTCGTGGAATGCTCCAAACTCCCCAAGTGGCATGCTCCAAAGGGAGGTTGGTCAATGGGCTCGAATGATGACCTGAGAATCGCAACTACACAACCCGCGGCAGGATTATGGAAAACCAGGACACGGGAAGGATGTGAACAACCAAAAACTAAGGAGGCTATGGCTACATAAATGCTAGTACGATCATGTACGATCTGTATGTATGACATTGCATGCATGCACACACGCAAATGTCGCGATAATAATCCATTATAGATATACTTTAACATCATATCATAATCAACCAAGCTGGATTTCTCCCGGCCGGACATCTAGAATCTATAAGATGGGCCAAACAGGAATCCAAGACAAATATGAACGGTCCAGGACCTTCATAATGACCTCTTTGGAGTCTCTAAGTGACCTTGTACAGACCTAAGTGACCTCATCCTGGGATATCAAAGGGTCACTTTGAAGGTCCTGGGTTGGATATATATGTTTGTTTATAATTCTGCTTGTTGCCTGTTACATGTTTCGCAAACTCTGGACTTTTGGAATCCGAGCCATTCCTCCACCATAGCTCGATGGCATAGCGCTCGTAGGACACGCCATCGGCGGCCACCACGGGATCCTCCATGATGTCCTCTGTCTTTATGCCGCCATTCGATGCGAGAAGGCCGTTGAATGAGGCAAAAATATGAAAGACCACAAGCGAGCAAGCCAAATTGAGATCATAGAACGGTCTGCAAAAGACCCAAGGCCTTCAAAACAGGGCTGCATTTTGAAAAAGCACACTGACACGAATCTGGACGTGGATCTTCCAGGGACAGAACTCATGTGCCTGGTGTTTCAATTTCCAAGTCAAAGAGGTGACCTGTGACCCTTGCAACCCCGTCCGCATATTAAGAAAGAATCGATCTTTTCCGCTCTTAAACTTTCAAGCCAACTAACAACAACACCAACCGAAAGGCGGTTTCGCTGTGCCATGAGATTTGGCGAGGCCACGGTGGTAAGTGCCATTGGAGGCCTGGGTGCACAAGCGTAAATTGTGGCATGTCAATGGGAACGAATTGGTGATTGTAGTCGGTATAGGTACCTAAAGAACGTGCCCCAAAAGGACCATATGGGGGCAATTTGAGTAGTGAGTGGTATAGAAAAAGCCGGGGGGGCATTTAACAACATGTCAAAACAAATGTTGTTGACTAAAAACAATAAACATACAAAGCTATATTTAGGGTGTCCCGCATGCGTTTTTTTCAATAGGTACGTGGGATTACTTTTCTTTAGCAAAACGAAACAAAACGACAATAACATGTCATTGAACATCTTGGAACAGTTTTTGCATCGGTGATTCAATATACTGACCATTAAACTATAAATGTGCCGCATGTCCGGCTCCTGCGTAATGGGACAAATGAAATCCGCAGGTGTCGATAACTCCGGCGACCCCGTCATGGCTTTGAAGGTCGCTGCTGTCTCTGAAGGTGTTGCTGGGCGTGCCGCACCAAGCATTGAGATGCTGAGTTCGTCATGATCCCCACTCGCAATGAGATTGTCTCACGGAATCAATCAATCCAATGCGCCAAATTCAGACTGAGACTCAGACTGACTGTTCTCTTTGCAAAAGCGCCAAACCAGCTGAAGCTTCATCCTTGCCAAACACCATCCTTGCCAAACACCCCCTGTCGACGCCGAACCCGAGTCTTCGGTGGCCGTCCTTTTGGTGCAAAGGATGTTGTTCGGCCAACGATTGGCTCCGTATCTTGACGATATATACCAAAGACTGTAGCACATCTTCAGATTGTCTTCATCAAGGTGCCTTCGGTTGGAGAACTGCTCTCTCCTGTCAACCATCCACCCCATCCAGTCCCACCACAGTTATATATATATATAGGGATAAACATCGCAGTGATATGCGGCGATTGGCCCCGCAAAGGGGGCCCCTTCATGAAAACATATGAAAACAATCCCACTCCAAAAAAAATCACACAGTGATCACTAGGCCGATGTGATCACTGGTGGTCTCGTTTGTGTGTGGAAGCCTTTTTAAGGTCTCTATCACCCTCGTGATCTGAGCTATATACTGAATGAGACTGATGTGGCACAGCTCGCCCAACAAGCCTTTCTCTTCGCACGAGCCTTTCTCTGCCAGCATAGGTGGAGGACGAGCACCACCAGCACGCTCTTCCGGTTGACCGCGCTAGCGAGATTCCACCAATTAGACCCCACACGATGCCAAGTGATGGAAACCAAGTATGCTACGGGCCGCAGTGAGTGGTGCCCCCATGTGCCGCTTCCTCTGGCCATTCGTGGGTCGATTTGAGAGTTTAGCCGCAGGCTGAGTTCGTGTTGAACAAATCATCCTACGAATATCTCAGCGCCCTCCCATCCTCCTGGATTGCATGGGAAGAAAAGGCTTAGAACGACGGCCTGGACCGTCCAAAGACCGTGCAACAAAAAGATCGAAGAAGTTTAAACCAATGCATGCTAAAACCATATATATATATATATATCTATTAACGAATTAGATTGTATAATTACAATCATGTAGTCAAACACATTAAAACTCTTAATTATTATGATTCTGATGTTTGATGTGTACAGTCCAACATGTGCACATGGAATAGGTCATTTTGCTGTGGCACGCAATGTCACCAAACCTTTCTATTTCATGTTCTGTCGAAACGGCAACTCGATTCAACATCCAAAACCATAGACCTTAGAACCCACAGGCCACTCGGCTCATTTTACTCACATTCGTGGTATTCCTGAGGTCTACTGAGCACAACTACAGGGAAGCGGAAAGCTTGGTCTGATCTGCCCAGGCCAAGTCGGCATGTTTCAACCCATTCCTCAAGGTGATGGGGTCCTTCTGAAGCACCAAATTCCAACACCTGCACAAAAGAAAGCGGCAGGTGAATCCAACAAATTGATACAAATTGTCTGCCAGGCTTGGGCTGGAGCCTTTTTTCGACACCAGGGGATGCGGAGTTAGCACTATAGGATGGATTGACTCTGTCTCTCCACAGTATGTATCTCTACTATACTGTGTATCTCTATATATATATGTATATTTATATATAATATCTTTTCAGTATAGGTGTCATTTCCACTCTCCTCTCTCTTTTCCTTTAGGCCCAAACCAAGCGCCGGCGCTCACGCTGAACTCACGGTGGGCCGGCGCTACTCGGCGGGGTCCGGCAGTGGCCACTCCACCTCCCGGCTCTGCGGTTCCGGAGAGTTGGCCGCACTCAGATCTGGCGCAGGTGATGGCCTGGCGCACGTTGGACCATCAAGTTCATCCCAAACTGGTTCTAACGATGTGAGGCCAGTCTGGGGCCCTGTCCCATTTGTAGACCATGTTTTTAGGGGCGGTTTGAGGTTAGGAAGCCCGTCCGGGGTCCCTTCGCTAGGTGATCCAATTGGGGTGTGGTGTATATCTATCTCTATATAATTCTATATATCTATCTATATATCTACCCACCTATCTATCTATCTATCCATCCATCCATTAATCCATTCATCCATCTATCTAATTAAACTAATTAACAATTATATAATATATATATATATATAGATATTTGATGATATTTGGTCTATGATTCTGTATAATGTGACTGCACATCTGTGTATAACAACCCGATAGGGGGGGGGGGCGATCATCCGACATTCAGCCAATCAATGTCTGAGTCTAAGCTAGACATGTTTGGCAATCGTTTTGGAGAAGTGACACATCTGATGTATAAACAGGATGATTATGATTCAGGTAGGAAGGAACTGGGATTGGACAGAAAACGCACAGCACAAATCAAGAGACCTGGAATACCTCTGTGACCTTCTGTGCTCTTCACACCACTCATGAGCTGTCGCCCATCTGTGATTTTGAACAGGGCACACCTGGGACCACATGACTGAAGAAACACTTTTTTTTTTCAGTCAGGACTTCAACTCTGTAGTCGTGGTGGATGCAACTAGACTCCGGTCGCCAAGCTGCTTGATCGTTCTGTCTCCTTGGGTAGTATGACCCAGTCAGGCCCAAAGACCCGGCGTTCCTCCACCTCCACCGACCGAAGGGATGGAGCGCGCGTCCGCACCTGGTTCCAGGGGAGCGCGGAGGCCGACGCCTCAGTTGATGAACAAACCCCCCACACGTCCTCCATCGGATGAGTCCTACATGAGTCCTACATCGGAATGCGGAAGGGGAGTTATTCTTGTCAACCATCAACTAAACATGTCGTCTACACCTGTTTTCTAGCGCATCAAATGGCTTTACCGAGCTGTTTTTTTGAAGCAAGGTTCTTTTGGTTTTCTTTTTGATGGTACTTAACTCCAACTAAGGCGTCCTGGGTTTGATAGTTCGTTCTAATCCACAGGTTCAGCTCCAGCATGCAATGGGGCCCTCACTGGTGGCATAACAATCATGCCAGGGGCCATGAGAGTCATGATCGGCCCAAAAAAGGACAGCGGTACTGGAAGAAATCAATAGACATTGCAGTTTTGGCAACCTCAGAGGTCAAAAACCATTGTATACAGTACATAGCAGTGCTCTGTGGACATTTCATCCCTGGCTCTTACACCCACAAACATCCAAACACAAATATGTTAATTAAACAAACATGTATATATATATATATCATATGTTACGTATGTCCTTGTGCGCGTGCCGAACCCAGGCTTGAAACGCACCCAGCACACTGCTATGCTATGATATGCCATGTAATTATAGCGCTTTGGGCCTCGTGACTCGGTTTCAGAACATGTCTCCCAAAAATCAAGTGGGAAGGTCAGGAATCGTCAAGATCACGACGAACATGATGGTACAGTGGAGACGTGAATCTTTGAGTCATTACGTTTCATTCCAGTTGTTTTTGTTTTTCACTTATGGAAGGAAACATAATGGAACACAAAAATGCACGGGTTGCATGTTGTATGTCTCTTGCGGTCACACACGCGCATAAGTTGATCAACAAAAACATTTTAGATCGCACCTATATGACACGACCTTGGGGAGTGTCCCCGGTCTCTCTGTCTGAAGGATTTTCCACCAGAAGTTTGCGGATGAACAGCACCAGCAATTTACGATCTAGGTTCCCAATATGGATACGCACGGGTGGAAATGCCCAATTGAGTTGGGAACAAAACAGGCAAATGCAGTTGGAGTGATGCTCTGGCTAAGTACTCGAGGACTCTTTCAGAAAGGTGTTTGAATTGGACGTGGTCAAAATCCGTTGAACTGTGCTGCACCCGTACCTGCTTGTAGCTCTTCATACCTCTGACTATCTCGGTAGGTGAGGACACACCATGCAGTTGGCACCTCGGGTTCTTCAAGTTCCCTAAGCCAGTCAGCTAACTTGAAAAATTGAGAGGGGCCTGTTGTGGGCGGCAGACACTTTGAGACAAAAGTTATTGTTTTTTGCAAATGCTAAATGAAATGAAGCCAGGTATGAACAGATTGCACTTTTAAGCACATACTGTTTCAGGAAAAATAGGAACCAAAATTAGAAAATAGAGCTGGACATGGAAATAACAAAAACATAATGACCGTACTCTAGGAATAGCAAATGAAAAGGAAACAATGAATAAGGGATGAACAATTCCTTTCATTTTCTTTTTGAAACAGCAATTCTGCTCATTATATACGTTTCAAAGGAAATGAAAGGAATTATATAGTTATGTTTAATAGGAAAATAAAAAGACATCATCTCCTTTTTAAGAAAAATCCCAAAGAATATCCCCAACAACTCAAGCGCAAAATGCAACACTTTGTCTTCAGGTTAACAAGGTAAACTAAGAGGATAGGATACTAAAAGGTTAGCAAGGCAAAAGGTAACAGTAGGAAACACAATGAAATAGACTTGAAACATCATGAGGTGTCCTTGACTGTGGATTCGGGCCCCGAAATTGGATTCGGTGCCCGAAAGTGGATTCGAATGAAGAACAGGAGGAAACTAAGAGGATAGGATACCAAAAGGTTAGCAAGGTAAAAGGTAACAGTAGGAAACACAATGAAATAGACTTGAGGTATGATGACGTTTCCTTGACTGTCGATTAGGAACCTTGCGGGAACCTTGTGGGAAACTTGCGCCAACCTTGCGGCAACCTCGGGGCCACGTTGTGGGAACCTCATGGGAACCTTGGAGCAAAGCTGTGGGAACCTTGGAAGAACCTTGTGGGGCAAAGTTGTG